CTTTGGAAGGACTCATCATCTGGATTTGTCTGCTTCCATGTGAAATTATGTAATATGTTATCTGTTTTCCCAGAGATAGAAGCAAGTTCTTAGAATTCTATTGCACTTGGGCCCGGCACAGTAGCCTAGCAGCTAAAGTCCTTGCCTTGAACGTAACAGGATCCCATATGGGTACCGGTTCTAATCCTGGCAGCCCCACTTCCCATCTAGCTCCCTGCTTGTGGCCTGGGAAAGCAGTTGAGGACAGCCCAAAGCTTTGGGACCATCACCCGTGTGGGAGACCCAGAAGCAGCTCCTGGCTTTAGATCAGCTCAGCTCTGGATGCTGCGGCCACTTGGGGAGTGAACCAGTGGACGGAAGATCTTCCTCTCTGTCTCTCCTCCTCTCTGAATATCTGACTTTTTAATGAAAGCATAAATAAATTAATCTTTAAAAATATATTCTTGTATTTCATATTTTAGAAGCCTTATTGTTTAACATTTTATATTAGTATCTCAACATATAAAAAATGGTTTTAGTGGTATTTCTATGAGGCAGGAGACAAAAAAAAAACATTTTTAATTGAATAACCAAAAGACTGCCCTCACACTGCTTTACAGTACCTGCTTTAATCATACATCAAGTGATCATATATGCATAGGTTGCCTGCTGGACTCTTCTATTTTCTATCCTTGCACCAATGCTGCTCCATCTTACATAGTGTAGCTTTAAAAGAGTTAGCATCTAGAAGAGGAAAGTCTCTCATGTTGTCTATTCTTGAATGTCTGAAATACTATAAAAATTTTAGAATGAACTTATCAAATCACACACACACATTGCAATTTTATTAGAATTTCAATATCTCAGGCCAAGTGTGATGGCTCAGTGGCTAAATCCTCACCTTGCAAATGGCAGAATCCCTTATGGGCACCAGTTCATGTCCTCACTGCTCCGTTTCCCATCTAGCTCCCTGTTTGTGATCTGGAAAAGCTGTAGAGGATGGCCCATCTTTGGGACCCTGCGCCCACATGGGAGACCTGGAACAAATTATTGGTTTCAGGTCAGATCAGCTCAGCTCTGGCTATTTCGGCCACTTGGGGAGTGAACCAGTGGATGGAAGATGAGATTTCTCCATAAATTTCTCTCCATAAATCTCATTTATCTTTCTGATAAAAATAAATAAATCTCTACTGTTTTCCCAGGCCAAGATAGGGAGCTAGATGGGAAGTGGACCAGCAGGACACGAACCATCATCCATATGGGATCCTAGTGTGTGAAAGGTGAGGATTTAGCCACTTAGCCATTGTGCCAGCCCCCCCAAATAAATTAATCTTAAATAAATACATTGGCTTTGTGTCTCACAACTCTGATTAACTTATTATCATAATTTCTGTATAATTTCCTTTTGAGTTCCCACAAACAAAAATCATGTCTAAATATTTGCATACTTATGTTTTCTTTCTCTACCTTATGTCTTCTACTATTTTCCTTCTTTGATCAGCATCTCCAGTATAATTTGATTAAAAGTTATTAGAGTGAGTCATCCATTTCTAATCTAATCAATATTACTTCATCAGGCGTGATATTTACTATACTTTTAAAAATAGAAATGCCTCGGGCCCAGCATCATGGCTCAGTGGCTAAAGTCCTCGCCTTGAAAATGCCGGGATCCCATATGGGCGCCAGTTCTAATCCCGGCAGCTCCACTTCCCATCCAGCTCCCTGCTTGTGCCCTGGGAAAGCAGCCTGAATCCTTGGGCCCCAGTCATTCATATGGGAGACCTGTTTGGCCTGGCCCAGTCCCTGACATTGTAGCAATTTGGAAAGTGAACCAGCAAATGAAAGATCTCTCTCTCTCTCTTTCTCTCTCTCTCTCTTTCTGTCTGTCTGTCTCTCTCCTTCCCTCCCTCCCTCTCTCTGTTCCTGAGCCTTTCAAATAAATTTTTTAAAATATGCTGGTATAAAATATTACAATTGGGCCCAGCACAGTATCCTAGCAGCTAAAGTCCTTGCCTTGAACGTGCTGGGATCCCATATAGGCATGGGTTCTAATCCCGGCAGCTCCACTTCCCATCCAGCTCCCTGCTAATATACCTAGGAAAGCAGTGGAGGATGGCCCAAAGCCTTGGGACCCTGCATCCTCATAGGAGACCTGGAAGAAGCTCCTGGCTCCTGGCTTTGGATCGGTGCAGCACCAGCTCTTGTGGTCACTTGGGGAGTGAATCATCGGACGAAAGATCTTCCTCTCTGTCTCTCCTCCTCTCTGTATATCTGACTTCAATAAAAATAAAATAAATCTTCTTAAAAATTACTACTTCATGGGCCCGGCGCGGTGGCACAGTGGTTGGGGTCCTCGCCTTGCACGCCAGGGATCCCATGTGGGTGCCGGTTCTGGTCCCGGCTGCTCCACTTCCCATCCAGCTCCCTGCCTGTGGCCTGGGAAAGCAGTCAAGGACGGCCCGAAGCTTTGGGACCCTGCACCCTTGCGGGAGACCCGGAAGAGGCTCCTGGCTTCGGATCGGCATAGCATCGGCCATTGCGCTCACTTGGGGGGTGGATCCTCGGACGGAGGATCTTCCTCTCTGTCTCTCCTCTCTGTGTATCCGCCTTTCCAATAAAAAAAAAAATAATAAAATAAATCTTTTTTAAAAAAATTACTACTTCATGTGTCTGTGACCTGTATCATGGTGTCTTTTTGTACATTTTTTTTCCTGGATTGGTCTCAGTGATTTCTCAGTTTTCTAATTTTTTTCATAAAAGCAACTTTTTGCTTTGTTGATCCTCTCCGTTTTTGTTCTTTCTCTAATTCATTTGTCTCTGTCCTTTCCATTATTATATCATACGTATGAGTGTGTGTGTGTGTGTGTGTGTGTGTGTGTGTGTGTATACACTCTTTGAGTGTAACTTGTTCTCTTTGTCTAACTTCTGGAGATGGATATCCCATCTCTCTTTTTATACTATATGAATTCAATGCTATAAACTTCTGGAAACACAGTCTCATCAGAACCCCACTGAAATCCACATATAATAGTTTCATTATCAATTCATCCAAAATATTATCTAGTTTCCATTGTGAATCTCCACTTCCTCTGTGTGTGTGTGTGTTCACAAAGCATGGTGCATAAACTCCCAAGGGCCTTAACCACCTGAGAATCTGGTCAAAATGCAAATTGGCAGTTCTATCTCAAATACAATTTCTCCAGGGGGTTCAGATGTGGATGGACTGCAGATGGATTGCAGGCCCACAATTTGGTAGAGGGTTGCGGGTTATCTAAAGGACAAAGGAATAAGTCTGAATCACCTGTCTGGTCAGAATCCTGTCTGGACCTCACAAAAAGCCCTGCGGAATGAATCAACCAATCAATGTATAAGCGAAAAGAAAAAAGAAAATTTCTTATATGTAGAGCACTGAAATTCTTGAGTGCTATAAATAAGCAGAATCTCTGTGGCATCATTTGGTCTCAATCCCACTCAGAGTGGAACTAGTGTTTCCTTGTCTTAGGTCAACCTTTCTTAGGTCAACTAGTGTTCTCCCCCTGCCCCCTGCCCCTTCCCATTCTGCTGCTCCGGCTCCTGGCCTTCAGCATGGGCTTGCGTCTGCCTGCTGGAAACAGTAAGGGTGGTCAGGTATATTTTTTCAGAGGGATTCTTTGGAGTTGTGTTCATCCCTCGACCTCCCCCCAGCTAAAAAAAAAAAACCCTCTGCCTACAGATCCCCATTCTAAATACTATGATCTATCCTACTTCTTTGAGTTCTCAGCTTTTGAGAAACTTGTACAGGACCTCCGTCCCTCCCAGAACCCCCTCCCACCCCCTCCCGCCTCCTCTACTTATAGCCCACGTGAGTTGCTTGCTCGCAAGGCAGCTTCTCGGCCACTTTTCCCCACCTCCACGCATGCCTCTCTGGAGCGTCTCAACAAGGCCAAGCCAGACTTGCCCAGCTAGCTATTGTGCTCGCGACACAGCCACCACACCAGGATCCCCACTCAGTGAAACCCACCACTGGCTCCCGTGCCTCAGCGCACCCCATCCCACCCCCACGCCCTGCCCCGCCTGGGGAGGACCAGGCTGGCGGCTGGGAGTCTCCCTGTCGGCTCTGTCTCTCTCCATCCCTCTCTTTCCCTCCCTGCCTCCCTCCCTCCCTCCTCCGCCCGCCCCTGAGGCAGGGATCCTTCAAATCGAGGAGAGGGGGGACGGAGCGGCAGGATGGGGTCCAGCTGAGGACCTCCGACTCCCCACTGAAGCTTTGCTGGGGCTGGGTGTTCCCAGCATCTCGGAGCCCGGATATCTGTGAGCTGCGGTGCTTCCAAGACCAGAGGGGTCCCTCCGGCAACCCCTCTGTGCCCTCCTTTTCCATCAGGACCCCCCTCGGATGCTCTCAGCCACCCTCCTCAACCCGGATCTGAAACCCGGGACATAGCTATCAGGCCAGCCTCTCTCTCTCTCTCTCTCTCTCTCTCTCTCTCTCTCTCTCTCTCTCTCTCGCTCCCTCCACCCCACCCCCTCTTTCTGGCGTCCATCCCCTCCCCAACACCACCTCTGCTGCTGCCTCTGGCTGTGGACCTGAACCTCTTCCCCATTCCTGCCAGGTCCGGGGAGCGGGGTGAGCCTGGATGGGAGCCCCCCCTCCAACCTGGGGCTCTCCCAGGCCATGGCCCGGGTGCTCCCAGGGAGAAGCCCCGGACCCTGAGCATCTGCTACAGGCTTGGCGGAGGCCCCGCTGGGACTGTGTCTTCTGAGGACAAAAGGCGGCGGCCAGCAGGCAGACGGGGTAGTGGGGGGAGGGGGCCCGGCAGGCAGGCGGACAGACAGGCAGCAGGGGACAGCGCTAGCCCCCCTCCCAGCTCGGCGGAGGCTTGAAGATGGGGGTGAGAGTGTGTAATGGGGGAAGCACCCACTGGGACCCCCACCTGCCAGCGAGTTGGGCATCCCAAGGCAGTATGCTGCCCACTTGGTATTCCCCAACACCCCCGATGCTGCCGAGTGCACCCCTCCGGTGCCTGCTTCCCCTGATGCCTGCGATTTAGACCAACCCAGCTGTATCCACGGCAACCGAAGCAGGAGAGTCACTGGCCTCCCGATCACAGAGAGTCCCACAATGTGGCCTGAGATGTGACCGATCTTGGGGGTGGAGACAGCTTGAGCCCTCTTCCTGGATTCCAAGACATTCCTGCTGAGAAAGCCCAGGTAAGCAGTCAGCTTGGATTTCGGGGGAGGATGTTGGCTAGGACTTCCCTTGTGCCTCCCCACACCTTTTTCAGAGTCTCCATCACTGCTGCGCTCTGCTGGTCTCTGACTCCCTTTAGTCTCGCTCTCTCTTTCTGCTCCATCACGGGGCTACTTGGGCACCCAAGCCTGGAGACTCCTCACCTTCCCCCTATCTTCCTCAGTCCTCAATGTTGTCCCATGAGAAAGGGAACCACCACCTGTTTCCCCTCACGGGGTCTGTTTTGGTCATTATGGTGGCATGTGGGCATGAGGCTGTGCTGACTGTGGAAGGGAAGCCTAGGAGGCCTGCCCTCCCCTCACAATGCCTGCACCCTGGGCAGGCTCAGCCTCCTGCAGCTGCCTCTTCTCCCCCCCCCCACCCTTCTCCCTCTCTCTCTTTCTCTCTCTCCCTCCTCCTCCACTCTCCGAGTTCCTTGGCCTGCTTGCCATGTGTGCGTGTGCGTGTGTGTGTGTGTGTCTTTGTGTGTGCGAGCACCTGGATAGCGAGCAGGTGGGTAGACATGACAGAGAGGCTGCTCCCAGCCCAGACCACCCCTTCTTTCCTTCTTTTCTTTTCCTGCTCCCCTCCCTTTCTCTATTTCCTCGCTCCCCTCCCCCTTCCCTTTCTTCCTCCCTCCCTTCTCCCTCCCTCCCTGCCTCCATCCCTTCCTTCCTTCCCTTGTCTCTCCCCACAGGTAGCACAGGTTTTTGCTCATTCACCAATGGAGACATTGCTGTGATGCCCAGCTGAGGGAAGGGAGGAAGCCACTGTAGGGCTGGAGGAAGGTGAGGTGGGGTGGGAAGCATTTCCAGGCCCTGGTGGCCTTGATGGCTCTGTGGGAGACAAGGACCAAGCCACACAGCAAGTGACGGGGACCAGGCACAACCGTCTCCCTTCCGTTGTGGGTCCATCACATGGCTTTCTGTGTGTTTCAGATTGTCCATGTTGTGGCTGGGGCCTCAGATCTTGTGGCCTTGTGTACAGTGACCAGAGGTCCCTATATCTGGAAAGGCAGGAAAACCTAGAACATGGAGAAGATGGATTCTACCAGGGCCACTTCCCCAGCTCCTAGCTCTCTCTTTAACTTCAGTCAAGCATGCTGCTTGTCGAGCCTCAGTTTTCTCTTCTGTCCAAGAGACTGGTAATCCTCCTTCATAGGTGGGTGAAGAGATTAAGTAAATTGTTGTAAGTAACTAAGGGGCATGCTTCAAGGTGGTACTGACGCCATCTATGTTTGTTGCTGATTAATACTGTTATTGATTATTTGGGAGAGAGACTAGTCCATTCCTCACCAGAGTCTCAGCAAGCATCTGTGGAAGGCAGCAGGTGGGCAAATGGGAGAAGTGGAGGGGAGACAGGAGCGGTTCTGTGTGATTAGTTCTCGTTTGTAGGGACTGATGAGTGATGCTTGTGGACACAGCCTCCTGTCTCCCCCTCAGTCCAGTCTCCTTCCCTGTTCTTACCTCTGTACACACACATGCGCATACACACACACGCACACACACACAAGCTTGTGTCCTTGAGAGCCTGCAGCATTCCTGGCCTGGGTGATATATGTGTCTCCCTGTTGAGGGGAGACTTGGCAAGAGTTTGGCTTGTGGTCAATGGTTGGCAGGGCCTGGAGACAAGGCTGAAGCTTCTGTGCTCTCAGGGCTTCCAACGGAGCTGGGGTGTGGCCCATGCAGCTGCTAGGTCTTTTGGGACTGGGTCCCAGGGATTTGTTCAGCTAGAGCCTGGAGTGCGGGGTGTTCATTGGTTTGTGGGTATGGAGATGTGATGGAACATGGGGTGAGGGGCTATGGGCCAGGAGAGGAAGGGGGAAACTGAAGGCTAAAACCCAGAAGATTACCACCCCCACCCCCAATGGAGGCAAGAAGGGCTTGGACTTTGAGGCACAGGATTTTTCTGAAGAAGCATTTAGTATGAAAGGGAGAGGAACCAGTCTATGATCAAGAGGTGTTTGGGCCTGAGCGTGGGTGTCTGTGTGCAATTGAAACTGTGTGTGTGTGATCTTTCATGGGCACTGACTAGGTGTGTTTGAGTCTGTATGAGCAGGCTATGTGATGCTATGGAAGAGCGTGTAAGTTCCTAGGTAGGCTTGTGTGTGTGTATAACGAGGTGTGGGTATGACTTAGCATGTGTGTCTGGGTGAGCAAAGGGGTACATTTCATTCTGCTTTGGATGTGGGTGTGTTTCTCTAGCCATTAGGCCTGTTGCATGTCTAGTTGTGTATATGTGTGCTGTGAATTTGCCTTTGAGTGCACATGCCTAATTCTATGCATATAATTGGCTTCAGAATGCCAATCAGGTGAATACCTAAGTGTACCTAATTGTGTATATTCATGTATGCTCACATGTGCACATGACTGTGGGTGTATCTACATGGTGTTAGGGCATATATGTGTGTGTGGCTGCTGGGGCGAAAGAAAGAGAGAACATGCTTCTATGTAAGAGAGAGAGAGAAAAAACATGCTTCTATGTAAGTGTGCCTGTCATGTATTTGTGTGAGTAAGCATATGTGTGGATTCTCTAGCATTTTAAGTTAAGTGCTTGTGTGTGCCCGTCTGAGTGTATATTGTCTGTAGACAATCCTAGTTACCCACATGGATTAAAGCAATGTTAGGGCAGATTGGCACACTAGGATCAGGAGAACTAATTGTGGGGATAGGGGAGTGTGTGAATGAATAGATGCCGTGTGGAGATGCCTATGTGTAAATGTCTGAACATGTAGATGACTGTGGCTGTGGGATGTGTATGCCTGTATGTGTGAGTACACACCAAAGGCTAGGTGCACAGGTGAATGTATGCATTTCAAAATGTCTAATTCTATCTGTGTGTACACTGTGGTGTGTAAGTGCATGTCTGGTTGTGGCATGCATGAGTAACTACATTTCATAATACTTGGGTGTGTGTCTCATGTTTTGTAATTTTTGAGCATGTGTGATATGTGTGCTGGAGTATGCCTGTGTATCATCATGGGTGAACATTAGTGTATAATAAACACCTGTTTTTTGTGTGTGAAAGAACATATTTGTGTATATATATATATATACACATACACACTTGTGTTCATGTTCATCTGTGTGTCAATATGCCTATCTGTATGACTGAGTGCACAGGTGTGCATGTGTACCATTTTGCATAATTCTCTCTGCATATGTGTGTTTGTACTTCTGTATGCTTTCTCTGGAGCATATGTTACCCAACATGTGAACAAATGTGTGTATGACACTCTGATCTCATAAACACATTTGGGTGTATATATATATCAATGTTTTTGTATGGATGTGTCTGTGATGAGGGTGGCGTGTGTATGAGAAGATGTGAGTGTGTACATGTGTATAAACATGCCTGTGTGTTCATGTTTGCCTGCAGAAATATAAGTGTAAATGACTTATTTGCATAACTTCTTATGTGGACATATAAACCTGTGTGACTGTGCACAGTGTGCATGTCTGGCTGTCATAGTGTGATTATGTTTTGTGAGGACGTTTGTATTTTCATATCTGATTAAGTGTAGATGGGAAAGAATTGATGTAAAATAAACATGTGTCATTATGCTTGTAGGCATATATGCCCAGTTGTGCAAACAAGCCTATGTGTTAGAGTTCCTGTGTATGTATACATTATCACCTTTTGAGCATGTGTGTAGCTGGGTATCTGTGTAAAGATGTCTACATATTATACAAGATGTATGAATGTGTGTGAATACATTTAGGTGGTCATCTCTGCATGTATATGTGTATACACCTTTGGCAGTCATCTTTGTATGTCCATATTTGGTTATTATCTTCTTGGGTGTGATGCAGAGTCTGCCTGTCTACAGGCATGTGCTTGTATGAAAGACACACACTTAGCCTTGGGCCTACTTAGAAGGGCCTTCTCGCTGAGGGTGATAAGGGTTCTTGTGAGTCGGTGTGACTTCTTATGCATCTCTGAGCATCAGTGGTACCGTACTAGACCATGTCTATCTGTAACTGTGTACACACCCTACAAGTTGGCAAGCTGTAACTCTTGAACAAAAGTTCATGTTCTGCGCATCTCTTCACCTCCATTAACCTGGGGTCTCTCCTGGTATGATAACTCCTTTTTAATTTTTAAGGAAGAGTGAGAGAGGGAAGGCGAGAATATGAACCTCTCATCTTCTGGTTCACTCTCCACATGGCTACAATGATCAGCACTGGGCCAGGCTGAAGCCAGGAGCTTCTTCCGGGTCTCCCGCATGGGTAACAGGGGTTAAAACACTTGGGTTATTTTCTGCTGCTTTTCCTAGGCTGTTAGCATGGAGCTGATTGGAAGTGGAACAGCCAGACACAAACCGACTCCCATGTGGTATGCTAGTGTCGCAGGTGACTTTACCTGCTATGTCAGTCCCTCTGGTAGAATAATTTATATCAATAGTCAAACTCGTTAAGTGGGAACCAGTCATTGCTGATGTCCTGGTGGATAGGTGCATGTGACTTCTTTAGGAAAGGACTCCTTTGGGCTGGCGTTGTGGTGCAACAGGTAAAGCCACTGCCTGTGATGCCAGCATTCCATATGGTCACCAATTTGAGTCCCACCTGCTCCAATTCTAATCTAGTTCCCTGCTAATGGCCTGTGAAAAGCAATGAAATACAATCCAAGTGTTTGATCCTCTGCCACCCACATGGGAGACACAGATGAAGCCCCAGGCTCCTGGTTTCTCCCTACACAGTGCTGGCTTTTGTGGCCATCTGGGCAGTAAATCAGCAGATGGAAGATCTCTGTCTCTCTCTCTATCTGTCTCTGGAATTCTGACTTTCAAAATAAATGCATCTTTTTTAAAAAATAAAAGGATTCTTTTGAATACAAAGAGTATCCATTCTTCTTATGTCCCTACAACCAAAGGTCCAGGACAGAATGACATTGTATGATGCCTGAAGTTGGTAAATGGTTTTCATAGATAGCAGCCAAATTGTACCATTCAGGCAGAAACCTAGATACAAATATGTACTTGTAAGTAA